CATAATATGTCACGTGGAGAGACTTTATATCTGATAAAACACATGTGGCATTATATAATTGTTCATCTTAATTAGCATGTTATACTATGGTTCATCCTAATTAGTATTCTTTTGTAGTCGTATTTTAAGCTATTCAAAACACGAGTAGGAGTGTTTTATCAGATATATAACGCTCGGCGGCGTCTCGCGTTATATATCTGATAAAACACTCGGCTGCGCCTCGCGTTATATATCTGATAAAACACTCCTACTCGTGTTTTAAATAGTATATATATATATATATATATATATATATATATATATATATATATATATATATATATATATATATATATATATATATATATATATATATATATATATATATATACTATTTAAAGCACGCGTAGGAGTGTTTTATCACATATAAAACACGACGCGCAGCGGAGTGTTTTATATGTGTTAAAACACGACTACAAGTGATTTAAATTGCTTAAAAAACGACTCATCTTATACGAGTTCATTGGCGAAGTAATTTTTAAAATAAACTTTGTCTAAACCGAGAAAATCAAAGCTAAAGTTTATGTAAATTAACACGATTTTTTATCACATATAAAACCACGACACGCTTATGATTTTTCTTTGTGTTTTGCTCCCGAATTATTAATCAGTTTTTAAAATATATATATATATATATATATATATATATATATATATATATATATATATATATATATATCACGGTGGGTATAAAATACAGCAAATTCAGCCACGTATAAATAACTTCCTGTCGTTAGTATGGAATATCACGAAACTTCCTCACAGGATAGAACTTGCCATTCCTAAAAACCCTCAGAGGAGGTTGGACAGCAGGCCGCAAAGCATCATAGGTATTGAGCGCCTAATTCCGCGCGTGGCTTCATTGACTGTTGACTGTCGAGGAGTGAACACTGAACATCTCTCTGACTAAACCAATATGAAAGCTTTCGAACGACAAGAGTGTCAGGCTGCGATACTTTGTGAAAAGAAACAGCATCTTCTTGTTGTATTGTTGCGATCTTCATTATGACTTGTGTTTTACTATACCAAGTTTACCTTTTTTAAATAGCATGGGGCATGCTGTCATTTTAGCCTTGTAAATAATGCGTTTGAGCAAAGGAATTGTGTTTATATTCCAAATAGCGAGGCTCTTCTTTCTAACTTGGATGACGTTAAATCTCCGTGTATCATTAATGTCAAAACAAGCGCAATATTTAAGGTTGGTATACTACAATGCATTACAGTTATCTTGTTATTTAGTCAAATTATTATCCGCTTGGTTGTTTTTAACCTTGTACTGTAATTTTATGAATACACTGTATAAAATTATGGCGTAATATTTCTGTTTAATGCCTCTAGGTTGTCCCTATTGTGTGTGTCTATCTACTGCGTCATTGTAATACATATGTACATGTTTGAGTTAAATTGTTTAACTGAAATTTTTGCTGAAGTATGATGCCTGTTTGTATCTAGTTGTGGATAGATTTTCACATATATGTGCATACAATAGTTACTAAATAGATATTTTTCAATTTTTATTTGTAAAATATTGCCATATTTGTGTGTTGTTCTATAAACACTGTAAATAGGGACCCGCTTTTGCATTAGATTACTAATTTTAGAGATTACAGTTTATGTACGAAATAATAAAATGAAAGTTTTCTTGTTATGATTTTGTAGAAACTAAGAGATCTACTTGAGTGGTTGGCTGGTCTTGAACCTGGTCAGCATGGATATGATAATGAAGGTGATAGCGCAGAAAGTGGTGACCAGTTAAGTGACGAGGATGAAAGTGACGAGGACGAAATCACCCATGCTGTACCATTCAAGTGCATCGGTGCTGCTCATGAGAACAATTACCAACATCATTTGGAACAGGCATACCTTGCTCTTTGTGGACAAGATAAACCAGTGAATGTAAGAATACAGCAAGAGCCATTGAATCCAATGGACCCAAGTGCAATTGCAATGATGTAGACTATGGAACTGGATGGACACATATTGGTTATATTGCTTCTCAACTATGCGAGTATTTGCACCCACTAATAGCCAGCGTGGCCGGCTCTTTTATAACTAGAGCCTGCCCGAAAGCCCTAGTCAAATTGATGCCGCCCACTTAGTTATTATTCCATATTAACACCGCCCACTCGAAATAGTTTTGTATAAATTAATGACTTAAAATTTTAATTGTTGCATATTTACTATAGCCTGCGCTACATGCTTTCAATAAAATTTTTACAATAGATGGATAGCGATTCAACTGCCTGGAAATACAAGCAAAACGTCGGCATTTCGAGCGAAGGCCCTTCGACTTTGTCTGGAAATTAGTAGTAGACGAAGACCGTTCAAAATTATATTATGCTTTGCACCTGTATGGCTGTACTACAGTTATAAATATTGCAGTATTAAATATAATGACTTAGGAAAAGTTTAAATAGACCCCTTCCCGTGTTATACACGTTGGCAGGCAAATGTGTTTTAAAAGTTCCAAAGAGAGCTTCGTATTATTATGTTGTATTAAACACAATGGGGAATGTATTGTTTTATATAATCGAAAATTTGCCAGCCAGCCAAATATAAACAAGGCAAGGACAGCCAAGGTTTTATACTCTATATACTATAGTGACCATACGGTAAAATCATACGACATTTGCAGTAATAGCAGTATGGCTTGCCGTATTCTGTTTAGATACCGGTATATGTTATACATTTTACACTTTGTCTTTTGAATTTTATATTTTAGCCGACAGGTTTACACTTTAATATAGCGATGCCGTTTGTTTTTACTGTATTTATTTTTAAATATTTGAATAAATTAGCGTAACATGTCAATCAAACTGTCGTCAACGTAAATTTAGCCAATCACAATTCTCGGCGGCTGGCTGCCGAGAGTCATCAATTTGACTAGGGCTTTCGGGCAGGCTCTCCTTCAATAGAGCCGGCCACGCTGGCTAACCCACTAATTGCCACAGAAGATATCTTAGAGGTCTATGTTCAGCATATCAGGTATAGGGTTGACTTTTTTAAAATATGATTTTATCAAAAAATTTTCATAAAGCGACGTGGTTAGTGGGAAACTCAAGTGGTAAGGAAGAGCACGAGTGTACGTTGACAGATGTTTGTGATATAATTGTAACTGACTAGGTTTAGCAAGTTATAGAAATTATGTTATTTCAATTGGCTAACTTTTTAGATTTTCATAAACAACAACTAGGTTAATCATATGTGCATGGGTGTGCACAATTAAAATAAAACAATGTCTGTCATGCACACTCATACAATTAAGACAAGTACATAATTGTAACATGTGCTGTACTAAATGAAGAAATAAATAGTTTGTACATTCACTTGACCAACTTTGTGAGTAATTTTTCATTAAAATTATTACTATTTAATAAATAAATATTGATCAAAGGTCCCACAATAACATGCTGCTGATACTTTCTGGTACATTACATGAGAATCCAAAAAGCCTCCATATAATTGCACCTATCAATGTCAAGCCCCAGAGGGGGGTGGGCATATATATGTGGGGTATTTGATCATCAATTGCATCCCCACTCTGAGGATTTGGATTAGCATTTGGGGCCCGAGTTAGGGAAATTTGAATATTTATTGCAATTTATTGCAATTTATTGCAAAATGGTGGGGTGTTTGACCAATATTTATTACCTAACAGTGGGGAATTTGATTGAAAACTTGCTCAAAAAATCAAATGCCCCACATATGCCTGACCCCGCCCCCTCTCTTGGGCTTTACATTGAAAAAACCACCATTTCTCAAACTTTATCTGAATTATTTGTGTAACATCATTACAAAATACTGTTAAAAAAAGGCCAAGTGGGCCTTCAGTGCTATAAAGGGCATTCTTTCCAATGGCATCAGACCAACATCTCCATGGCATCAGCCATCAGACCAACATCTACATGGCATTGTTCTCCAAAGCATCGAGTAGCGTGATAAATCAGATTGCCTTTTTGACCAGCATGAAGTACAGACACAGCCTTGGCAACAAGTGGGAGAAACTTTTGAGGGACAAATTTAGCATCTAAACCAGGGTTAACTTTTACCAGCCATTTTTGAAACAGGTGGATGAGTAGTTGTTCTGGTTGTTGCTGGGTTAGTTTTGAAAATCCAGAAGTCATCATACCAATAACATATTAACCAGAAAGGTGAACAAGGTTTTGGTCATTCGATGGAGAGACAATCATAGCATCGGAGATCTTGCAGATGTAGAAGGTCTGAGCAGATTGGAAGGACCGATTTTATCTCCAAATTTAATGATGATGCTTAATTCTTGCAGACAAAATCATTAACAAAAATAGAATCCAGCCAAAATCACGAATCTCAAATCTAAAACATCAGCCAAACAATAAATTTCACTTATAAAATATCGTTACGGAAGGGCTTTAATTATTTACACACTTTAACTGCAATATACAATCCATAATATATCGAAACTTCTATAATATATCACACTTCTTTAGAAAAAAGCGAGTAATAGCAGTTCATTATCGATCTGAGTGACAAGGCAACATATTTTACAGAGGGCTATATTGAACGGTGAATATAAAAAAAAAACGGTTGTGGCACCAAGGAGGTCCGGCTGGATAGAATTAAAGCTTATACATTTGTCTAACTAATCATGATAAAAATAGCGAAATCGAACCATGGAAATTTGAGATTTTTGTCTTCAAAGATTGTTGACAGAAACGCCATTAAATTACATCGCGACGGCATAGCGCCTGAAGTAAGAGGTCAAAATGAACT